TACAGTTATGAGCCAGAGATAAGTTACATTTCCATTGACCACAAGGTGATATTTTAATAAGAATTGTTTTAGGGATGCTATCGTAATTGCTATCAAAAACGAATTATCAATCGATGTGGATGCGCAGATCCAAGATTTCCAAAACCCTCTAGTAGAACACAAATTTGTGACATTAGAAATGAGTACACGAGTAAGTTTGTCTTTCAATTCACTTCGGATAGCATCAGTGATTAACGGCAACCATAACTATGGTAGTAAAAAAAAAACAAAGGTTAAATAGCTCATTTGTTTTCGAATGTTGTTGTATTGACACTTACCTAGGGAGTACATAACTAATACTCAGCCTAAGTAAAAAACAATTCTGAAATCTAGTTGCTAAAGACCTTTGGCCTGTTCACCTTCAACTCTTCTAAACACACAACCAAACCGTCTCCGTTTTATACTGTTTTTCACAAACCTCAAAGAATGAAAGGCTTGACGAAATTTTGAACAACTAAGATCGGCTTATCGCCAGAACTATGGGTCATTTGATCTACAATCCTGGAGACTGCTTGAGGTAGCAAAAAAACTTCAGCTTGATTGACCTTGGGCGTCCAGGGAACCACAATGGATACACGAGCAAGTCTCCGATGAATTGAATTTATGATGAGGTCTGCGCAACCAATGAAGACAGGCCATCCAAGTATCCAAAGAAGTATGATCGGCTTAATGTTGTAGCTAGCGTATTTCGAAAGTCGTCGATTCAGCGCTGTCTCGTTTCCACGTAAAATTGGAATTATTGTATATTTCAGTTGATAGCAGAACGCTGAAGGAATTTTGGGTTTCAATATGGGGCACAGACGTCTGGCTACATCATTTGATATGTTGCTAACACAGAAAGTCCATTGGGACCGAGAATACCTGTCACATCCGTTGTTGTTGCTGCCGTTGCCGTTGCGGTGTTGTTTTTGTCGCCCTCACTGTTGTTTCTGTAGAGAATGATTTTAGAAAACTGTCTTTCCCTTGAGAGTGCTAAAATGACGAAAAGAAAATCGTGCAGATGTATGCATCCCTGTAAGCAGGACGTCTATACCACAACGTATTCAGCGGCAAAATGGCCATCTGAAAGTAATAGAATTGAATGTGATTCGAAAGACTGCAACTCATATTACAGGTGAGACTACAGAAAATTCTTGGCTAGGTTTACTGTTCATAATGTTCTCATTTAGTTGTTATAAGGAATCTATCAAAAAGTTGTACCCAGCAAACCTAACAAAGTTTCTAATTTTGAATCAGCAACATTTCTTTCAAAACTATGAAATAACTTCCATTGAACCTGTAGAGGACACTTATACAAAACTAGACATAATGATGGTTTGGAAAAAGGGAAACCTAACGACTGGTATAAAATTTTTGAATGCTTAGCTGAAAACAACCACAGGATACTGAGACATGAGCAATACACGAAATCCTATTTGAGCTTAGAAGCCGCGATTACTATTTCCGGGGATTCAGTGCCGATTTGTGCCTTCCAAATCATGCCTGTTGACGGGTGATTGCTGATAACACCATTTGGTTAAGAAAAAACTGACCGAGAGAAAGACAAAACAAGCGTCAAGTATGTACAGTGGATAACATTTGAGTCCTCGGAAAGGTTTACCGTGGGTTTGAAGCCTAACGAGGGTTCCCAGTTTTGCCTATATATTTCCATTGCACCATTGCAGTTATATTTCACGTAGTACCTTATGTTCAAAGTTGACACTTGGTCAAGTAGTAATAAAATTTCAATGCCTTCCTGAACTCTTTAATACTGCACACGACATTAACTAATTTATGGAGACTAGACAAAACCAGTCACATGTTATTTGCTTAATAAAGAAGATTTGTATGAAGAAAGGGTGCAAAATAGCATCACTGGTTCAACTTACAATAAATCATACTCCTTTACAATCTTTTAAAAAATTTTATATTTTTTTTGCTTCCATTTATTTATATGCCCTAACAGATCACCCTTGAATCAAGCACATCATCCATTCGGTTAGTTGTATTAGATCCTTTTTGAGGTCGTTTTGTCTATGTGGAATTATAGTTTAGAAAATTTGAATTCGTTTTCATAATTTAAAACTATTCTAATCTCTTTCTATGTTTTTACCTTCACTATGCATCTGAAAGTTAAACAGTTTATCATAGGTGAAACTATTAACCCCGTACATTGAAGAAAAACCAAATGGCTTAACATTACAGTGAGCATGCAGCTATGTTGGAAATTTACTATGAACAAATGAGTTATGAGATTCTTCGAGAATCGGAATCGTACTCAATTGTCAACCTCGTCTCCGACGTTGGTGGTCAGATGGGGCTGTGGTTGGGTAAGCATTGCTGATCTTCATGTACCTTCACTCAGCGATAAAATTTGCATCTAAAGAAGGAATTTCAGGAGCATCAGTATTGACTGCAATCGAAATTGTAATTTTACTCATTAATATACTTGCAATCACCATCAGAACTCGACTGTTACCTGATTTTTCCTCAAAAATGGATAAGAAAACTGACCAGCAGTCAGATAACGACAGTCGTTCGGAATGTTTGGAGAAGAAACACCACGATACATGTTAAATTTTGTTTTATTTGACATTCGTTGAAGCAGTTGTGTTTATTTACAATTTCACTGCTAACCTTAGTTTTGGTGCTTTTGTGGTTCTTCTCAATGCTTTTGTCTCTATCTGCTTATGTGTATGTGTAGGTACTTCAATACTTGCAAATAATGGCTTGAATAAGATTTCGTCGTCTTCATGCGTGTCTCTCACAAGGAACTCTCGTTGAGCCCTATTATTTTTTAACTTTCATTTATTTCGTCATTAATTATTTGATGCTTCTTATTGAACTGTTCAATAATCCTTGCGCACCTACAGAACAAACCGAAGCTTCATTATGTAAGAGACGATTCTGTGTAATGCATACAGCAATACATTCACACACAAAAAGCGAATACATAACAGAATGCAAAAGTAAAGGAGTTATGACTAGTGCACAGAAGTTGGTGGAGAGTGGACAGTCATTTACTACGACAGAAGTTTGTTAGCGCACAACGTTATTCCCCAACACCGTTAGGAATATATTTCTTTATGCTACAATGCACATAATTTGATTCAAAATCTGCTTTTAATCCGATGGAATAACAATGTAATCGACGAAGTTATGGTTGTCTCATCCGAAGAACACTTTCTCAATGATTTCGGGCATTTCTATTATATTTATTATTTTATCTGAGCCGTCTTCACGTCTACTGTGCGGATCCCAGCACTTCTCACATTCGATTCGTTTCCTCGCATCCATCGTCCACGAAGGTCTTCCAACTTTTACGTGTGGCTTCGGTTGCTGCTGGAGGAATTCTATTTTATCTTGAGTGTTGTAGAATATTGGTCGAGCAATTCTCTTTAGGGTCTTGAGATAGCCGGGCTGGAGAGCTCCCAATTGGATTGCAGAAGAGTGAATTTTTTTCCAGACAACTCCGTTATCCGCAGCTTCCCGAACCCGAAGGGATGAGAAGCTTGGTTGGCCAGGAGCGGGACATCACTAGCACCGTGCTATTCGCCCCATTTCCAATTTTGGACATTACTTCTTTATTACTCTTGGTTATGGGCGCGTGTGGCGCAGTGGTTGGAGGCGCCACTGCGACACACACCTGGAATTGATTGGATGTTGGATGTTTTTGAAAGCAAGCAAAGAATAACCATTACATTGAAAGAAACCTAGTTATGTGGGTGCAAATCTGACGCTTTCCTCGGATTCACAACCATCGGCCACTGCGCGAAATAAACTAGAAGGGGTTATTTCGAAGCTGCAGAGGAAAAGCTTTTTCAACCAACAGGAAAAGGCGAGCAGTCTTATACGATTCTGGTCTTCACATCTATCCTGATTTATAAGGTCATAATGAATGTCGAGCTATTGCCCTGTAGAAAATCATGATTAAGAGAAATTTATGGCGGGTTTCTTAATCAATTTATATGCATCTATTACGTATTATGTAAGGTATTTCCGTGTTTCTTAGAGGTAGAACAACTTTGTGCCCAACCTTTGAATACGAGTAGTACCAGTGGGGAGCGTTGTCGATATGAAATCAGTATTGCGACCGTTGACCACCTACCACACTCATCGTGTTCTTGGTTGTCTAACCACGATACACACCCGGGTCAGCTAAGGTAAGAAGCTCGAAAGTCTGTATAACGTTAGATCCCGAGGACTTAGTCCTGGCGTGTACAACAGCAGATCCCGATGATTTAGTCCAGGACTGTACAATGGGAGATCACGAAGATTTAGGATCCTGACTGCCTTGTTGCCAAAACAGTTAAGAAAAAAGGCATTATACCGGAAGTATGGTGCTCTGTGTGTGTCTCGATAAATATCCTTACATCCTATTCGAGCAAGTTCACATATCTGATTAAACTTACTAGTTGGTCCTATGGCGGATTCCACGATTATTCATCCCGAACTACTGCAAACACAGCGAACAAACAATTCAGTGCTCCGTTTCTACAGTCCACTCCGTTAGGTTAATTAAGTGCTGAGAAGTATTTTCTTAATTTTTCACATACAAATGGCTATTTGTTCCTTAGTGCTGCGGTAAGTTTCCTAGAAATTGAGACATTTCATTGGTAAAATCGTTAATCTTCTCCATACTTTGCCATGTGGGCACCACTTTAAAGGACAGGTCTGGCGATAGCGCGTTACTATACCGGCAATGACACGTAGATTTGGGGAGCGATTCAGCGCTTTCAATTCATCTGGCATCTGTTTTTCCTAGCTTTTGTGTTCTCTGTACAATTTATTGTTGTTAGAGTACTAGCTTAGTTAGTTGTCGTTAGTCCTCATGAGCTGATTTGTACTGCAATTTCCCAGAAGTTCTTCCATTTACTAATATTTTCAATTAAGTTGTCGATAGTGCGATATATATATATGTAAACATGGAGAACTCTGCTAATGTCTTCCGTTTCTTTTCTTTCTCACAGGTGATATGAGATTAATCGTCCTTTTGTTTCTAACGTATTCTTCCGCCTATGCCATATCGCTTAACACGTACTGGGATGAAAACGATACCGTACAACTTTCGAAAGTGCTTGAGGTTGTCTTTTCAATTCGATTAAACTTCTTCTTTCTGGAAAACTTTTAAATTCTTCTTCAGGATGTGTTGAAAACGAAGAAAGACAAGATCGCTTCTCTGCACTATGCTGTAAGTGGCCTTAAGCTTCTTAATGTCGCACCATCAGCTACGTTAGCGCAGGTGATTTAATGTCTTCTTGTTGACTTAACACTCTTAGGATTTGATTACGATGCTATTTGCTTTTAGGCAGTGTGTGAAGTTACTAAGAAGGCTGATTTGAAAGTGCTTGAGACTCTATACCATGCGTCTGCTCTTTCTGGTGACCTGCCTAGTTGTGCCCTTAGTAAAATTAACGAAGCACAAGTGAGTGAAGTTTGCTAGTAATTTTATATTGGTTTAGTTTTTTCTTTTATCCTTTATCCACATTCCGGGAGTTTATTGTATATCGTGTTGCTTCTACATCATTTTCAATAACTGTTATGATTTCTTATGGATGATAAGCCGTAAAGGAGAATACACAACGTTTCCGCGTTAATCTAAATGTCCAGGATTCTCTATACATTCTTACTCACTTGAGCACTTGGATGACCCACCCTCACTAGTTGTGCGAGCTCCAGCATAATCTCCGTTTTGTCGGAGTTTAGCTGGTTTAACTATTGTGGTTCCCTGGAGTACCGAGGTGAGCCATGCCAAAATCTGTCCCAGGTCATCACCACCACAGGCAGTCGCCGCCGTTGCAGATCAGAGGGAGATTTGCCACCATGCGACTAGTTTCATACCACGACGGTGGTGGATCCTGTTATTGGTTTGCTCTTCACTAGGCTTCCTGATGGAACCGCCGGACGCCCCGGACTGCTCAGCTTGGGAGACCTTGCCGGGACATGAATCCCTCCGAAATACATCGCAGTCCGACACCTAGAAACACCTCCCAGCCACAATAAGGCGGTAAGCCGTTGGGAGGCTGCAAACGTTCGGCTCTGGTAAACATTTTAATGGTGAGTGGATGCATGTTTGGTTTAAAAAATGACTTGCGATGGTCTAACGGTGTACCATATCAGCTTTTTTATTCTCCAGGACAAGTCTAGTACTATTTTGACGATCCAAAAGTATAGAGGACTTGGGAAGCCCAGGTAGTGGATGGTATCAATGACCTTGTGTAATTACAGTGACCATTTATTTGTTAGGTACCTGGGACTACAGAGTTTTGTCCAAACTAGCGCCTACACTTTCCGTTAATCTTTGTCGACCACGAAAATGTACTTGGTATCGTCGACGAAACAACCAGTTTATCACATCTCGTTAACTGTGGACTTAGTTTACCGTTCGTATAGGTTTTGCTGAACTGATTTTCTAGGTATACTACGACGCCACAGCTCCTCCATGGTTAATTATCGATCGTCATAGGGGTGAGTAGCGGACAAATGGTCTTCTCGCTGAACTTGTTCACCACTGCAGTCTGAATAATGAAGCTTGCGGGTTGACACAAGAAGGGAAAGAAGGTGGAAGCTTTCTTCGCATCTTGGCTTTCTTCTTTTGACGACGTCATGTCTTTCCAGGAATTGCAACAACATCATAGAGGTTGCTGTAGTAGTGTAACTGCAATGAGTGAAAGGATAGGGTAGTAGATAAACGACAACATCACTGAGTTCGTTAAAAATCTATGATGCGATATAATAGACCAAATGTCGTGGAATCTTCTATAATTACAGCGACGTTATCCTACGTGTAGTTGTGTTTCCAACGCTGTGCTATAATAGGCATCAGGCGTTTCTTGACCCGCCAAGAATTTTTCGAATATCGACGAAGGCTCCATCAACATATAGTGATATCTTCTGAAATATTGTCAGCACAAACAACAAGCAGAACTTCCGATTTTATATCCTCAACTTACCGTACTGGTCCAGGATACATTGAGAAATCAAATAGGTTCGCTGTGTGATAAGAAGATTTAGTGAATGGACCAAAACAATGGTAGAAGTCGGTCAGGTGGTGATACATGCGTCTTCCTTAGCTGCTCTTACATGATGAGTTTTACATTATGAGTTTACTTGGAAACACTTTATAAATAACTGAACGATGACTGTCGACGTCATAATGCGTGAAACTGGCAATCTCCGAGTAATTCCTTCGTATAGGAAGGGATTGTGATCTGCTGGGGCTGACATTGTTCAGAAAGGCATCTAAAAGTACAAATTTGGTGGTAGCGTTTCTTCATCTAGTAGTATTTATGACCATTCTAGGTTAATTAGGATTGGACTACAGTATCTTAACTTTTATTTTCTACCTGTTCTATTTTCATATTAGAGCGCAATGTGAACTACATCCACGGGAATGTTGAGATATGAGCAAAACTCGAAACTGCAAGTGATCGTCAAACCCGCAATCACCCTCATTGAGGGCTCACGCGCTATCTTTCACATCACCTGGGTTACTTGATTTGGTTTTTTTTCAGCCAGTTTTACCCACTCAGTCATATCAGCAATTACCTGGTAACTAAAATGATCATAGAGAACACAAGCCAACGCTGAACTCTGTGAAGAAAACAAAGGCTGGGATAGAGGCAAACGAAAGGCTTCGGTTGTTGTGGTAGACAGCGCGTGAGCACTCAGTAGGCGTAATCAGGCATTGAAACCACAAAATGGAATGGACAGTAAATAAAATACATTGTGATTTAGACTCTATATTCAACTTAATTAGGTTCACTGCGGATTTGTGCTCTCCAGATCATTCCTTTTGATAGGTGATTGCTGATAGCACCGACAGAATCAAAAAGGTGGCTCGAAGAAAAGCAAAGCAAAAGCCGTGGTCGGCGTACAACGGTCTTTTTTTTAATGATTTGGGTAAAATGACCTCTTAGATCAACTGAAAATTTTTTTACGTTATGGGAACGTGAAACTTTGTAGGTTTTAACATTGAATTGAATTCTACTTTAGAATTTCCCCAGTTTCTGCTCTAAAGTGGTTAGTTTTTTGGCAAGCTGCTAGAACCAATTTTGAACTTCGTACATTGCACTTTCGCATGGGCTGGCTCTTGTAGCAGCTTCGAGTTGAAGTCAGCCAACAGTTAAATTTTTGCGTGTGAGGTTGCGTTCGCGCGGTATATATGCATATATATAAGGTACACATATGTATATATGTATATGCACACGTATATATATGTGCATGTGCACATATATGCATGCGTGCATGTATATATATGTATATATATGCTGAATCTATTGTTCTTATTGTAAGGCTTATTGAAATTGAATGTACAGAGTTTTTTAGGCAACTATCGAAAATGTGTTGACCGATTCTAATCCTAATGGTGAAAAGATTACACAAGCACTACGTAGCGCAGACCGCTTGGGAATAAAAGTCGGTATCGATTAGAACTACGGAATCTTTGCTTAAGCACACGATTCGTCATCTTTTTCTAGGTGAACAAGGCCGCCTTTGATAAACTGTTGGAAGCATCAATGAAAGCCGACGATTCTCCCAATAAGTAAGGTTGTGTTTTTAAGCCTTTACAAGCTCTTAACTCATCAGGCTTGCAGTCTTGCGTGGGTCTTTAACGCAGCCTCTCTTCTCGATAAGCTCGCTGCTGCCAAGTATTTTGAAAAGATTAAAAACCTTGTTTCTCAGGCTGATGAGGTTGACAAGCGTTTTCTACAGGTGAGTTTCTATGTGTTACTTCTACTTCGCACTCTCAATGCAGTTACTTTAGTTTGACGGAGGGTTGTTTACAACTGCAAATGCTATCCATGGAATTTTGTCCTTGGCTGAGCTTCAAGGGAAAGTTCCTGCTATTACCAAAGTCTGGTGTCGTTTTTCTTTTTTCGATTATCTTTTCTTCTATAATTCTGGATTGTCTGTAGTGGTGTTTTAGGATCAAATGTCTCTATTTACCAACTACCTTCTTTCGCGTAAGCATGTCTTCACGGAGAAGTCAGCTTTTTTCCTGCTTAATGCTCTAGGAGTTCTTGTTAATAATCATCAGCTTGTTCCTGTTTCAACACTACTTGTTGGACCCATCATGGCTGATCGCTCGAAGGTATACAATTATTTTCCTAATTCACTTTTGCCAACTGTGTCGTAGTTTGTCGTCGAGTCATTCAAGCTAGAGTGTGTCCGGTTTCGTATACTTGATACCTGGATACTTGGATTGCCCGTTGTCACTGGTTGTTTGGGCCCCACCATAATCATCATTTTTCGGAGATTTGCTGGTTAAGCCATCGTGGCTCCCTGGAGTCAAGAGATCAGCCAGGCCAGTCTGCCCCAGGTCATCACCACCTCAGACAGTCGCCGCCCTTGTGGATTAGAAGGACATTTTCTCCTATGCGATTAATTTGATGCCAGGATGGTGGTGGATCTTGGTATTGCTTTAGTATTAGCTGGGCTTCCTGATGGAAACATTTTTTGCAGCTTAGGATGCCCTGCGGTGGGGATGAATCCTCGCTGTACATCACAGTCCGACATTTAGGAACACCTAACATCCACGAAGAAGCGGTAAACCGTTGGGAGGGATTTCGTACATGTCTCCTTTTTTACAACATTGCGTTCCAGTTGTTTCCCCATGGTCTATATATTTTCCATTTTTATAGCTGGCGTGTGATTATGTAGTCCAATGTGTTAATGTTTATTAACAGTATAATTTTTGGATGTTTGAGTCTTCTCTCAGAATCAAGTGTTGTTGAATTTTTCGCTGGCGAGGTAGCATACGGTTGTTGGTGCAGAGAACTATTGCAACTATAGATCTGGCTTGCTGTCATGTGGAAGCTTGTGAACACTGTGCTCGAAGAAATCGGAGTAAAAGTCCAGATGGTCTTCACCATTGCTCGGATTGTAATAATAATTCTGTGTGGTTGTCATAGTACGGTTATTTTTTTGAAATTATCGAGATCCAGGCTGGTGTTATGGATTCTCTTCCTAGCCTTCTCATCTTTAGCGATTGCTAGTGCTCTTCTTTCCCCAAGTTCCTAGCTCGAACTTAAATTGATATTTTATTACGGAAAGAAGCAGTCGACCTACGCAAAACCACCCTCACACACATTCGCACTTTTATGTCTACGTATAACAACGAGTATCAGTTACCAGGATTCACTTACATAATCAACGTAAATGCGTGTTCGCTTCTGCTCAGTGCTTATCCTCTGTCTTCACTTGGGGACGGTGGTCGTATATATCTTATTCTGGAAGATTTCCTGGGACCTCTTTTTTTCGTGTTTATTACGGATTCCGGAGTCGAAATCTTATTTGCAGCCTTTAACAATTACTGTTTGCAACGTGTTTGGCCTACCAGTTGTCTCGTCTAGTGTACGAGTTGACATCACACCCGTGGGAACGACAAAGTCGATAGTTTCAAACCTGAAGTTGACTCCAGTTAAAGGGTGTGTAGTTTTTTTCAAACTATTATAGTCTTTAGGTTGCAATGTTTTATGAATGGTTTTGTTTTTAGATCTCCAAAGCTGTATACGATCCCAGCTGACAAGCTGCCAGTAATGGCTGGTTTCTACAGCGTTGCTGTAAAGATTGATTCTGATGTTAGTGACGGAAAATAGTAGTTAGTTCACATCTAACTCAACTTTTTTTTAGGACAAACGTCTAGTTGGTCTGACTGAGTCTAACATTCTTTTTAAAATTTCTGATGACATCACAGTTGACGATCTGAAAGTTGGTGTGCTTGAAAAGGACGAGGCAATTACTGGAACTTCACTTACAAAGTATATGGAGTTTTCGAAAATTTTTATTTAAGTCGGTGATAGGCGTGTTTCTTTGGGGACTTAGAAAATCGACATGTCATTGGAACCTTGATATTCTCAGCTAATTTTCAAAGCTTGTTTTGCTTGTTCTCACGAAAAAAACATTCGCTATAACGCCCTAAACCTGATGTGTTTGTGACCTAATGCGAATGTCGTTGACATCGCATCTGGTTATTTTTCTTATAACCAAACAATCTTTTGACTTTGCAGCGTTGCACAGTTCTCAAAGTTAGGCAAGACACTTACAGCCGACTACACGAAACGTTTATACGTTTCTTTTTCTGTTAAGAGGAAATCAGATGGGCAGTTGATTAAACCCAGTCAGGTAAGTTTTCTCTATTATACTGCAATTCTTTTCTGCTGAAACATCAATAGACCATCTTTATAGGCTTTCGTTTTATTTAAACACACTGATGGCTCTGAAGTGTTCTACACTGCAGATTTGCAAAATGGTGGCGGTTACGTTGTCGATATAGTTAGTCTTTTTTTCGTTTTAATGTTACTTATGTCCTTCACTAAAGCACGTTCTTATAACCAAGTGTATAAGCTCCTCGTGTATCAGCTTTAATAACTATAGTTTGGTTTCGGTTCATTAAATTGTTCTAAACTGCCCAGTTCACTAGTTGCGGGATTCTCTGCCGTCCTGGAATAATCGTTATTGCAAGGCAGAAAACCTCCCTTCGATTTTCTAGAACGACTAGTGCGTGAGAACTGGAGAATGCCATAACAGAGTGTCTAGGTTTTCCAAGTTAAACCATGTTTGTCCACCATTCATCATATCAGTGTGGAAAGTAGCCCGTAATTCCTCAAACCGAAATCGGACATGCGGACAAATTTGACATCGTGGTGTCTGCAATACAACGAACAGATTAGAAGTGTCTGGGGCACGCATGACGTTTAGACGTTGACGTGTAGATATCTTGCTATTCACGAGTTAAATACTTTCATGATTGTTTTTTCGTTTTCTGTGCTGGAAAAATTGGGGCAACTATACGTCTCATTAAATTTCTTCTCTTTCTCGTTCCATATGATTCCGAAGTTGTGTTCCTTGTAACTGTATATTGTGTTAATCTCTGGAATTAGTGTTCTATTATTTTTACAAGACATTTTCAGTATCTTGCCAGTGGTCATAAGGATTTTGAGAGCTTGTCTGGAAAATACACGGCGTCTCTAATTATTGGCGATGCACTAATCAGAACACCTCTGAATTGGTCGTTTGTGAGTGTCATGTAATTTATGCGTTATATTTCTTTATATTTGTTCTTTATACCCTGCACTGTGAATTTAGGCGGATTTTACACTCACTCTTCCTTATGCGGCTGAAGAAGTTATACCAAAATCTCAGCGAATAGTGTACAATGCCTTGGATGAAATCAGGCACGCGTTCCGTCAACCCGAAAAGAGGCCGTCGGTCATTGTCTCAGACGCTTTCACAGTGATTTGTCTCTCACCACTATTCTTACTTATTGTTTTAGTAAGTCTAACTTAAAGTTGTTTGCTTCGTTAGCGCTTTGTTTATGGTACTGTTTGTAGTGGCTCCGCATTGGATTAAACTTTGGCAACATGCCACTGAGTATCTGGACATTGTTCTTCCACGGTGGTCTCGCAGGTTTGTCAAGACTTTCATTGCGAATTTTTAGTGGTGTTCTAATTTTTTATTCTATGATGGTTTTCTTCTTTTAGTATTATTCACGTTGTATTTTGTATTCTGGCTTCAACTCAACATGTTCGAAACGCTGAAATATCTTGCTTTTATTGGTGTTTCCACATATCTTTCGGGCAATCGCGTTCTAAAGGCAATCGCTGCTAAGAGGAAGTAAGTGAGTAGACTGTACTACTATTTATACCTTCTTCAAAATAATTTTTAGTTAACGGGTGTGAATAACAAAGTGGAAGTTTTTGTATAGATAATTGAGTCGTCTTCGTAAAAAGCTAACTGGCTAAATGCCCATGGGAAAAATTACTGCCACTTTTCAAGTTGTTAAAAGTTACGTATAACATGGCTGTTTTGTCCTTGTCGCATAGTTATTTCAAGTAGCATGGTACATTTTTGATCTTATGGCCAAACTTAGTGAAAGTCCAAGCTAGTCTTCTAATGGTCGCTTCAACGACTAACTATATAACTGTCGTTGGTCATTGAGTGACTCAAGCGGTCGTCACTGTAGTTTCTATTTCTGACTACCTAGTGCCGAAGTAACCTCACTAGGTTCTGCTCACTGTAGGGATAGGGAGAGCATTACACTTTTCTAATATCTTCGTGAAGTCTAACGGATGGAGCTCTTGTTGTTGCGCACTACACAAGACATGGGATCCAGTTGCTAATAGCTGCTTTCTACCAACTATTGCGAATCATCACGTGTTTGACACATCTACTGTTCGACAATTTCACGTATCTGGCGACGTACCTACTATTTCATCATCTTTCTGTAAACTTCGTATTCGTTCTCCCAGTTGAATTTTGCCGAATATTCTTATCATCACAATGTTCACTTTTTATTTACTGCCTATTGCAGCAGTTTATTATGTTTGATACAACCACAGTGATGTTCAAATATTTGCAAAACTCAAGACAGTAGGTGTCTGCAGTGAGGAACGAGCATGTTATTACCCTTTCCGAGAGCTAACACGTTCATGTTTTTCCGCCCAGACTTGAGCGATGTCATTTTCTCATCTATGTGTTATTTTATGCCCATATAATGTGCTTTTACCGTTTCTGCAATACATATGTCATCTCATTCAAAACTATGGATGTTAGTTGGGACTTGCGCTCTGTGTCCATACGGTCGAAAACAAACAGGGTAGGGTTTTGGAGTTGGTTTCGAGCTAATTAACCTTTCAAAAACTACCTTAAGGCTACTATTAGCAAGAGTTGTGTTTTACAAAATAGTTTAGGTATAGGAGCTATCCTGTATTCTTACTTGTTTTTTTTTTCAGGTATAAAACGGAATAAGTTTATTCCAAATCATGTGAACGAGCCTTATATCATTGCCAGTTTGTTTTATCTGTTGTTTTTTTTCTCTCAGCGACCATCAGTATTTAACTCGTTCTTGGTTATTTTTATGGGGCCAGGTTTTCTCTGAAGGAAAATCTGTATCTATAAAGACCAGCGTTTTTTTTTTGTTGTTTTATCTAAGAACTGGTCATTTTACACGAGTTTTACCCCGCTCGCAATCTAGGAGTTTTCGTTTCAATGCAAACGTTGTTTCTTTCTGGTGATACTTCTGTGTTATATCTTCTCGGGACTGTCCCTTGTTTTCTGTCACCTATTTGTTTTTTGTCTTAGATACGTGTGGTTTTAATAGCTATAAATTTGTTATAATAATTTTAATTAAAATCACTTTTGTTTAATAAACTGCTGTTATATCTGCGACCTGTTATTTGGTAGTTGATCAGCGTTTATGGTCCCTGCTGTATTCCAACTAATCAGACTTGGAATATGTATAAGTATTAAATTGTTTGATAATGGGTATAAAAGATGTCTTTGACGAAAAATCTAAAAAGCCTGACCTCTGTCAGTCCTCGACCTATCGTCACGTGGGATAAGGTGGGATATTTGACGAATTTTACTTTTTTATCATAATTGAGCACTTGTAGAGTTCTCTTAGGAAAGATGTTTATCTAGGCGGAACGTATTCGTCGAAATGAAGAGATCTGGGCAAACCCGGATTCTATTGTTCATCGCTTACCAAAACATTATTGCAAACGGTACTGGGATAATTTATTGCGTGACGTTGCTCCTGTGCATTATCGGTAGGTTTGCATACAATCATAATTGAAGAAGAGTGTAGTCTCCTCATTTGTTCCGTTTCTGGTTTATCTATTCTACCTCCTTTAACTTAACAATCACAAAAGTCCTTTGCATTCACTATTACAGGCCACCTGCTTCTCGCTTGTACTGGGATCCAATAAGAAAAGTCGAAATCGAAGCAGAGAACTACCCACTGCTCGGTTTGTTCAATTTTTGTTTCGTCGTATAGTTATGTTTACTTTTTGTTCTTTTTTTTTTTGGAAGCGATTGTTGATGTACTATCGATTCTGTTAAGTGATTTACCCTCCGGAAGCTGATGAAGGGCTATGGGGAGGTGAAGGAGTAGTGAAAGGTTGGAAAGAATCTCGTCCATACACTAAAAAGAAGATTTTACCAAGGTTAACAAACATTTTCGTGTGATAGAATATGTACACACCTTTTCCATTTCATCTGGTTGTTGATAACTATTATCTTTATAGGCACTGGGTCCCTCGTCTCTATTTCCCCGCTCTTAAAACCCATGTACTCTATTCAGAAATTCTTGACAAGCACATGAAAGTGGGCGATTTTTTCCGATTTCAATCCAACTCGAACTTATGCGGATATCTTTTAGATCACGGTTACGGAAAGGGCACTTCGGCTGATTGAACAAAATTTTGGGCTTGATTACTATATTCTTCGTACTCCAGAGATCGATCTCGCTTCAAGACTTGGGAATAGGTTGGCCCTACGGCATCGATTGGAACGCATATTGGAAACGTCCTTGTGATATTCTCTACCTTATATCACGCTATTTAGACTGAAGCGTGAAATGTTGCTTACGCTTGCTAATAATGCATGTTATCCAGATAGTGATGAACGACGCAATTATATAATGAGGAAGTTCGTTTTTTTTTCTTTACCTACCGCTTTGTATCAAATTTTTCCTGTGACTTTTCGAGGTATGCTGAATTTGTAATGCCTGCCGAAGAAGCTGAATGGGTTGGGTTGGATTTGAATGAAGCAGCACGAAAGCAACAAGATATTGAAGAACAGCAGGTTTCAGAGCCACTGAAATTCAAGTAAGTCACTCTCGGTGAAAAGTGAGCAATCCGAAACCTTTCTGTTTTTCTTGCTAGAAGATTCGAGTTGAAATTTGCATTTCCAAACTTGTGGTTTGCTCCATTGTAATGTTTCTTTTAACATTTTTTGATTTACTTTATTTGGTTCTTGGATACTTGGATGGCCTGTCCTTACTGGTTGCGCGGGCTCCAGCATAATCTCCACTTTTTTAGAGTTTTGTTGGTTTAACCATTGCGGTTCCTTAGAGTTCTGAGGTCAACTTGGCGAAAATCTTCCCTAGGTCATCACCACCACAGGCAGTCACCGCTCTATGTACGAAGACGTATTTGCCACATTTGGTACGAGGATGGTGGTGGATACTGGTATCGGTTTACTTTTATCTGGGCTTCCTGTTGGAAACGCCGGACTCTTTTTCAGTTTGGTTGACCCTGCCAAAGGGATGAATCCCTCCACTGTACATCGCAACCCGACACCTAGGAACACCACCCAACCACGATGAGGCGGTAAACCGTTGGAAAACCGTTGGTTCATCCACTTTTGTGGGTTTAATTGATAAGAGTTTTGATCTGAGCTTGGTCATTTTTTCTTACCCAACTTCTTTTATACTAGTACGAGCTGCATCAGACTTTGTTCTGTTCTTTTCACCCGTTTGTACAGGCAGGTTTTGACAATTCTGAAGTGTTCGTTTATGCTCAGAGAGGATGACTTAAAGTGGAAAGAAATCGTGTTTTATTGAGTTGTCATGAAGTTCACAGTCCTCCACTCACTATCTTATTACTATCATTTTGAGACCTAAGCCCGATTGACGCTTACTCTTTGATTTCATTTCCAAACTTTCTTGTGGTGAGTTATATCGAAGTTCGTGTATGCCTCTGTGGTTAACGATGAAACCTTCATACCAAGCTTTTTAGCGAACATGTTGTTCGCACCCGTTTTGCTTCTCGTCTTCCATTCCAAAGAGCTTGTGTGCCGCGCAGTGGTCGATGGCGCCTTGCAACTCACATGGGATCAATTCCAACCACCCTGGACTACCAAGCCTTCCATCCCTCCGGGCTGGACAAATTGGTACCAGACCTCTCTGGGAGGTTAGAAGCACTGGCTCTATGCATCGGTAGGCCACACCAATCAGTCACCTCCAAACGATGCCTAATGAAATCGAAAGCATGGCACATCCCTCAGAACTTGATCAACGCGTGGAGCTTCATCCTTTTTTTATTCCCTTCTGTCACATTTTGGAGGTGTGGTAGTCTCACGTGGAAAGGGAAGTTAGAAAACAACTATAATTTGTCACATTATTGTTACTCCTTGTACACATGGTTCCGTTATTAGTTGGTCGTGAAGCCGTAAACAGTTTCGGCGAGAGGTTTCTTTGGCAAGCTGATTATTGATTGCAGTTGAAAAGGGTAAAATATGGAAACTATGTTCACGTGTTAAAACGCTGTTGCATTTGCATCTCCGGTACTTTTTTATGACTTTTATGATGATGTGATTGAGATAGAAACGTCGCAGTTCTTTATAAAACAGACTTTTTACATGGGCTGAGCTTCATTTTTCTCTTAAATGCGAACAACTGTGATTTTGATAAACAAAATGTGCTTTGTTCAGGTAGTAAATTTTAGTTTACGTTAACCAATTTAGGTTAGTTTTCAAGATCGTTCCTGTTGTCTAAATTGCGAAAAACAAATAGTATATGAGGTCCTACATTAATAAGATTTGTATCAACCTTAGGCAGTACATCACTTTAGTCGCAACGAGTATTTATTGACGGTGCTAACAAACTTTTAGAAACTTAGCTGAAATGTTTTTTGTACTGGATTCTCTATTTCAGCTCCTAACCACGAACTAGGCGAAAATTTTATGATAGCCTTCCAGCAAGTGTTTGCACTAGTGTTATGGAGTGGAACAAATTCGTGTAAATTCCATGGTCCACTTCATATATATATATATATATATATATATATATATATATATATATATATGTTTACTTGATACTTGAACAGCCCATCCTCACTGGTTGTGCGGACCCCAGCGTAATCACCATTTTTCGGAGATTTGCTGGTTAAGCCCTTGTGGTTGCCTGGAATCCCGAGGTCAGCCTGGCCAAACTCTGCCCCGGGTCTTCACCACCATAGGCAGTCGCAGCCCTTGTGGATCCGAGGGAGATTTACCACCATGCGACTTTGATACCAGGACGGTAGTGGATCCTGGTATTGCTTTAGTCTTAGCTAGGTTTCCTGGTGGAAACGTCGGACTCATTCTCAGCTTGGGAGACCTTGTTCCCGAACGTTTGATTTCCTGAAACAGATCAGAATATGTATTTAGAATATTTACTTGGATACTTGGATGGCGCGTCTTTAGTTTGAGTGCTCGCCTCAGCGTAATTTCCACTTTTTCGGAGTTTGCCGGTTTAGCCATTCTACCCCTGGAGTCCCGAGGTCAGCTTAGCCAAAGTCTGCCCTAGGTCGTCATCACCACGGGAAGTGGTCGCCATTGTGGGTCAGAGGAAGATTTTCCATCATGCGACTAGTTTCAAACCAGAGCGGTAATAGATTCTGGTATTATTCTACTCTTGTCTGGGATTCCTAGTGGAAACGCCATACTCCTCAGCTTGGAAGACCATGCTGGCAGATGAATCCCCCCGCTGTACATCGCATCCCGTCACCTATGAATACCTCCAGCCACAATGAGGTGATAGACCGTTAGGATGGTCTTGTATAGATTTAGTTGTGTCGTATTTAGAATATTAAATTTAATTACCATTTCGAATATTTTTCTTATTTGTGTGATAGGTAATAGTATTAATAGTAGAGGGACTGTAATTTCAAAATAGTCCTTGGAAGAAATAAATACTGCTTTGTTGATCGATATGCAAGACTCTGGAGTACTTCTTTATTAGTTTAGCATTTTTGACCTTGAGTCCATACGAGCAGCTGCGAATCGTACAAGTTCTGTGCGTAGCATACAGACCGAGTGGTCTATACCACTCCTGTCGTAGTGTGCGCTGTTGAAAATTTTGTTTAGTTTCATGCGATTGTGACAAATAGTAGTGCTCTTCGATTGTTTATTGAAGAATTTATATACATCAAACATTAAAATTTCATATTTCGCTGCAAACTTCTGATGCTGTCCATGTAATTTTTAAGGTATGAAAGAGAGCTGGTGTCTCGATTACATGCCGGAACGGATTTGATTGCAAATGAAGAAGAATTTATCCCTAAGACTCAAGAAAGCAAATTCGGTGATCGGCTGTTAGGGAAGTTCTTCAATCCAGTTGCAAAGCATTTCCGAAGGTAGAGATTCGGCGGCACTCTATCAAACTCTTCATCTTTTGCCGTCGATACTCCGTTTGTTGATAAAATTTGCCGGCTTTCTTTGTAAATATTGGTTTATTTGGTGTTAATTCATGGAATGAATGTTTAGAGATATTATTTGCTCTCATGAAATCTTAATACTAGTGATTTACGTATACTTAGTTGCAATTTTGTTAAGAGAATTTGAATTGTTTGAAAGTTGAAGGTGATAACTGAATGAATTAATCGTTACCTTATTTTCATGTAGTGACAGCACCGTTGCTCCGTGCTGAAGTTTTCCCTTACGTCATTCATGTTCTTACGACCGGATGCGTTCGCGTTTAGTAGGTTAAGAAGACAGATCGCTACCAGAGGACATAATTTTTTATGTCGTACGGGTTTGGAGAAGGATCCTGCGAAGGTTAGAATAGTAGTATTTACCCTCGTAGTTTGTTTAGCGTGAGGGAGTTATCCACATAGTGTTCATTGAAATGCAAAGATCTGTCTGACATACAGCGAAGTTAGTGATGAAAAAATGTGAAATAACTATACAATTGGATATCTGGACCGCCCATCCTTACTGGTTGTGCGGGCCCCAGCACAATCTCCAATTTTCGGAGTTGCTCTGGTTTAGCTGTTGTTTCTCTGGGGCCTCGAGGTCCGTTTAGCTAAAGTCTACCCCAGGTCGTCACCACCACAGGCGACCGCCGCCCTCGTGGATCAGAGGGAGGTTTGTGAGCATGCAACTAGTTTGATACCAGGCCAGTGGTGGATGCAGGTATTGGTTTACTCATAGATGGGCTTCCTAATGGAAACGCCAGAATCCTTCTCAACCTGGGAGAGTGCTGGAGGGATGAATCTCCACACTGTATTTCGTAGCGCGGTACGCAGGAACACCTAGCCACAATGAGGCGGTAAGCCGTTGGGAGAAATGTGAAATAACTATCGATTCACCGAATGGAAGTTGTTCCTACCACATTCCTCGCACAAGTGTTCGTAAACGTGTCTGCGGAGATTGAACAGATTCTTGGGATTGCGATTCTTCCTAGGAATATTTTTCAGCGTTCCAGATCCTTTTCGTCGATGATGAGCGGTCTGTTTCTTATGGAGAATTCCACGAATGGATTGGAAGATATGCTGCCATACTGTTTAAGAAATACGCAATATCTGTAGGTCCTTACTGTTGTTGAAAGTCAGTTTTCAAAGTTTTAGTTCCCAGATGTTGACTTGTTTCATATCAAGGTGCAACTTAAAATTTTTGAGAACATAACACTGAGCAGTGGACTTTTAAGTTACTTCAAGTCAAGTTTTTTTCTCTGGTAAACTACCAAATTCAGGCTGCATGTAGTTGTCTAATTTTTAAGAATAACTTCTTTCAAGGGTCTCTATGACCTTTCGAAGTTTTTAACTAATCGGCACATGGGAATTAATATGTTGCCTTTTTCTGAACCGATAATAATAGCTAAGTTTATCGTGTAGTGCGGACATCGATGATTTGTGTTTCTAGGAACAACGAGGGTATAATTCTATTCATATCAGAAACGAGACCGAGTATTGTGTCGAACGACAAAGAGCTTAGATGCTGTGGCCCTTTACTTGGCTTGTCTGCAGATCGGAGCCATCTATGTACCTGTTAATCCTTCCTATACTCTGGGAGAGACTAAGCATTTTGTTAAGGTGAATGAAAATGTTGCTTATACAATCCATTTTTCTACCATTCTTTTACAAAGCACAACATGTGTGGATCTGCGTCCTTTTCCAATTTCGTTGACGTAGTTGTTAATATCTCTGCGGTCTATGAAAATAAGTTCTCATCACAAACTACTTTTTGAATTTAACTATGAGGAATCTTCATATACCTATTGCCTTTTTTTGACGTCGAGGCGCGTCTGGCACATTGGTCGGAGGAGCCCTGTGGGTTCGATCCCAGCGCTCCAAACTCATTAAACCTTCTATCTCTCTGGCTCTTTGGGGTCGGCATATTGGTACCAAACTTGTCTAGGAGGATAGCAACACTACCTGCATACATCGGTAGGCCATAGCGAGTCATTGTAAGGGCCAGATATGCATTCAGTCGCCTCCAACGATACTTATTAAAATCAAATGCACGGCGCATCTCTCAGCGATAGATCAACGCCTAGAGCTTTACCCTTTTTTATTGTCTTTTTTATGTCAGAGGAATATAAGTATGGCATTTTGATGGTATTAGAATAGCATTTGTGTCCGGTATTTGTAACGCTGGCAATTGACCGTCGTGCTTCATTGTTTGATGTGATCTTGGTCTATCGTTAATTCGAGCGATATATTTAATACATGGGTGGCATCTACAATATTCCTATTAATACACACAAAGATTCACTTAGAAAGGAGGAAGGATGAAGTGTTTGACGTTGATCAGCCCATTAGGGGTGTGTTCTCTATTCGACTCCATTTGCAGCATCGCAGAAATGATTGCATGCTTAACCCACTCAGTGACTTTCGAGTACCTTCCGAAGTATCATATCATTTTCGAAAACTTATCAATACAACAGGAAGTAAAATCGGTGTTTATATCCTCCCAGACATATTTGCTACCAAATGCCAGGGAACTATTTGCTATTTGCCGCAGGGATGGGAACTCGATCAATTTGAGGCTGAGGATTAAACCATCGGCCCTACACATCGGAAAAGCACCTATAAATTTTCACTTCACGCTGTCACAATATTGAATTACCTATTTCATTTTGCTGTAAGAATATAAATCAGTGGTGCCTACTCATTGTTCAGGATTGCACTCCAAAGCTAATGGTAACACGTAGTGTGGAAAAGGACTCTGCACTTCATGAATTTGTAACCAATGTTGTAAACGAGAAGAAATTATCCGTGGAGTCAAAGAATGTTACGGCTGAGTTAAGCGTCGAGAACGTGGAAAATGACGATGTCGCTTGTATTTGCTACACGTCTGGTACTACTGGTTAGTCATGGAAGTGATTTATGATATGTTCTGACTTCATCAAACTCCATTTGTGCAACTTTCAGAAGGCTATACTCGCTTTTAATTGATCTAGCCTGCTTAATTCTGCGATTTTCGACTTGTTAACACTTTCTCTAATAGTGATTCCTCGGATATTTGGATAGCCCTTCTTCACTGGTTGTGCTGACGCCAGCATATTTTTCACTTTTCGGAGTTTTGCTAGTTTAGCCATTGTGGTTCGCTGAGGTCCCGAGATGAGCCTGGCCAAAATCTGCCCCAGGTGGCCACCACCACAAGAAGTCGCCGCTCTTGTGGATCAGAGGAAGATTTACCACCGACTAGTTTGATACCAGGACGCTGGTGGATCCCGGTATTGATTTACTCTAAGCTGGGCTTCTAGTGGAAGCATCGGACTGCTTCGCTTAGGAGACTCTGCTGAGGGGATGAATCACACCACTGTACATCGCTGCCCGACATCCATGAACACCTTCTAGCCACGATGAGGTGGTAACCCGTTGGGAGGTTCTCCAATAGTATCCACTCCAATTCTTGTTCTTTTGCGCCGCGAAATTTTCGCTTTACTCAGAATATAGGTAGTCTTTTGTGCTACGTAAACATTATCTAATGCTCATAGTATAAATCGACACTCGACATTTTTCAAGTAGTTACATGCCTCTCCGAATTCTGAAGACATGACCTTTCGGAATGAATTTTGTAGACGACTAATACCTTCGGCGTAAAATTCAAATTGGAATATTCATGGCTGATATATGTAGCTGGTGGATACATATTGAGCGCACTTTAGTACTGTGTTCTTTATATAAGGATCTGTTGTAGCTTCATTACGTTCATTTACTCACAGCATTTTTCAAGTGTTCAGCTCTTCGCGATAGTTTTTAGAGTTTTGATACTGTTGGTGATATCACAATAAAGTTTCGAGCCAATCCCTTGATAATACTGTTCCTTTTTAATTATTATTTGGGTTAATCTGGTTTCATTTTGCATATTTCTGCATCTTTGCATAGTGTAGTGAGCTGTTCAGAAATAGATTATAGTGTTTAGTGAATTACGGCAAGTATTTCGTTTATATTTATATATTTATTTTATTTTATTTTGTATGACCCGTCTTCACGTCTACTGTGCGAATCCCAGCATTTCTCAGATTCGATTCGTTTCCTCGCATCCATCATATGCGAAGGTCTTCCAGTTTCTACGTGTGGCTTTGGTTGCTGCTTGAGGATTTCCGTTTTGTCGTGAATGCCGTAGAATACTGCTCGAGCATTTCCTTCCTTCCTCTCTGAACTCTTCCTGGAGTCCTGAGATAGCCGGCCCGGAGCGTACCCAACTGGACTGCAGAGAGTGATTTTTTCCCAGACAAGTCCGGTATCAGTCTTCCGACCTCGAAGGGACGAAAGGCTTAATTAGACCGGAGCGGAATCGAACAAGCACCATGCTCGTGTTGGCGGACATCACTACCACTGTGCTATCCGCCTCTTATTATGCATATTCTGCATATCCTGTAGTTTGTGTAATATATAACATGCATGTCCTTATGAATATTTATGTATATATATATACATATATACACATATATGCACACTGAACCACATAGGGCGCGGCATTGGTCTGAGGCACCCTGCAGTACGCATAAGATCAATCTCCCGCCCCAGGCCCAGCAAGCCTTCAATCACCTCTTGGCATCTGCAAATTAGTACCAGTCTTGTCTGGAAGAATATCAGCACTGGCTCGATACATCGGTAGAAAACCGCGAGTCATCGTTAATTCCAGATGTGCATTCAATCATCTCCAAGGATGTCCAGTGAATTAGAACAGGGATTGATCAATGCTAAGAAATTTATCTTTTAGTTTTATATATTTATGCATATATATACGTAAAAAAGAGTAAAGCTCTCGGCGTTGGTCAAGATGCGCCATACATTCGACTTCATTAAGTATCGAAGGTGATTGAAAGCATATCTGGTCTTTCAAATGACTCACGGTGGCCTACCGATGTATGGAGCCAGAGTTGCTATCCTCCCAGACAGGTCTGGTACCAATTTACCCAATCCGGAGGGTTGGAAGGCTTGGTGGGTCATGGGCGCGAGGATTGATTCCACTCGTGTGTTGCAGGAAGTCTCCGACCACTGCGCCACGCACGCCATCCATGTATGCGTGCAGTTATATATGTATACGTATAGTGCAAAGCGCTCGCCATTAATCCACCTCTTTTGGGTGCATTGTGCGTTTGATTCTATTTCTGGAAGTGGTTGAATATATATCTAACCTGTACAATGTCTGACAGTAACCTACTGGTGAAGAAAAAAGTCAGTTTTTGTTCTTCTACCGGAAACCGATGGGTCAATTCTAAGACAACTCTGGTACAAACTTGTCTTATCCGGAGCGATAGAGTCTTTAGTTGACTAAGAGTGAAGGGTCGAGCCAAAAACAATGTGTGTATTGCGAGGCATCTCTGGACTCTATGCTGCATGCGTCCCTTTGTTTATAAACCACGGAATTTTACAAATTGTTACATAATTATTATACATAAATAGCGACTAAAACTAGTTTTAGAGTTCTCACCTTGTTGTCTCTTGAGGTTCCATGTGCTTTTTTTTCAAGGTGTTCCAAAAGGTGTAATGCTTACACATGGTTCTTTGTCAACGAACGCTGAGGCCCTTGTTGATACCTGGCGATTTACAAAAGATGACAAGTACGACGTTGTTTGGTTTTAGTTTATTCTTTTTCAGGTGAAAAGTTAGCTTAAACCTTTAGACTGCTTCACATGCTTCCATTTTATCATGTTCATGGCATGTTTATTTCACTCAATTGCTCTCTATTTTCGCATTCAACGGTGTTATGGAGAGAACATTTCTCTGTTGATAACTGTCTCAAATGGTTACCGTCGACAACAGTAATGATGGGAGTACCAACGTACTACAGGTAAAGTTATTTTTTTATTGTGTAAAGTAGATGAAGTTTATTATATATTCTTTAATTACAGTCGCCTAGTATCAGCACCTGAATTTAATCGCGAACTTCTATCACAATTGCGACTTTTTGTATGTGGTAGTGCTCCGCTGTCGACTCCTTTATGGGTAGAGTTCAAATCCAGAACTGGACATTCCATTTTGGAACGCTACGGAATGACTGAAGGTGATTCGTACATTATTGACTCACTATTCAGCTTAAGTGTTTTTTTAGCGCAAGTTATCTGTTCAAATCCCTATGACGACCGTAGACCTGGATCGGTGGGAATGCCCTTAGCGGACACAAAGGTAGTGTTGGGTTGTTACTGTTGTAGGTTATTAAATCTTCTTTATAAGTGAGATCGGGATGTTTTAAGCTAAGAATTAATCGAGAGGGTGTAATCGAGATTAAGTCTTCCTCTTTATTCGCTGGTTACTGGAACGATCCTGTGAAAACGGCAGAAGAATTCACAGTGGACAAATACTTCATCACTGGAGATTTAGGGCTAGTTGATGAAGATGGTGAGGTTTCTCTTTACATCTTTTCTTTAATTTTAAAGTTTAGCCTAACGTCTTTTTTGTAACGTCGCGTACTGTTTTAAAAAGTTGTCAAAGTTGCTATATGTATTTGATAAGTCTAGGCTGCTCAAAATCGTTCTATACTTCTTGTTTGTTACCAATATGTGAAAATCTCTTTGTTTCCTGTAATGATTATTAGATCAGTTAGTCTCGAATCTGCTATCGATAACGAGCCTTTAAGTTTTTAAACAAAAACCAATAACGATCTTGTAGCTGTCATGAAAGACGGGTGTATTCTCGGTGTAGGCTACATGTCTTTGCCGCACTATTTTAAATTGTTTCTTCCACGTACACGAAGTCGTATTGGCAAGTGCTTGCATTGATGTGCGCATCGTGGTAAAATACCAGTGAGTATTTCGCGCAAGAAAAAAACAATAACAGTAAGATACCTTGTACGAAAATATATTTTTCGTCTTTCAAGGGAGTTTCGCTTGCCCATTAGCATCGATTGCTTTGGATTGATAGTAACCCGGAAGAAATATTTGCAATTGAATATGTGTCACAAAGCCAGCCTTCGTTGCATACCTCCAACATCATACCTGACAAGGATGAGATTGGATTCAGGCCTAAACATTCTCAATGGCCTTAGAAGAGTTTTGAAAACAAAGTTTCACTTTATAAAATATCATCGGCGGCGAATTAGACACCAAGGAGCGGGAGAATATCTGACAATTTTCAAAACTGTTAGATTAACTCAGAATGAGCAGGGGGAAGTGGTTGTTCAAATTTGTTGTCGTAACCAAGGTCTTCAATAGCAATTCAGTTCAGAATTCCCCCTCATCTTAGCATCGGATGTGGAAATTTCTTAATGCAGATTACCATGCCAAAATTGATTATAATGTACAAATAGCAGGTTTTGCCTAAGTGAAATAGTTGTTGTTACAATGTTTTACGTGATGTCGAACCACTTTCCGTTATACGAAAGCTTGAAACTCTACCGGAACTACGACAATTAAAAGATCTAAATGGCCGTTCTACGACGCACAGATGGGATATTCACTTCCCATTCTGTTAAAGCACAGGCCTTATGGTAGTGATGAACAACCAGATGGTCCATAGATGGCACACAAATTTCGTTCACATATCAACTATGCAACTGGAATTTCATCGTACTTCAGCGAGGTCATTATCAACGTAAAAAGCTTGGACGGTACGAGAGCGCCTTTCGAGATTTGCTAAGTGAGGTACTCGGTAAAATCATGAGAATGCGAAATAATAGGAGAGTTAATGTCGATGGTAATCCTCTACAGCATGCTCAACCTGCTGATAATTCGTTCTTGCGAGCCATTCCTAGTCTTCGTCAATAAAACGATTAAGCTTAGCAGGACCCAAAGAAATGGAAATGGATTTCTTCCTAGTGCCCCATTTCACGCTTACAAGACCAAATATCAAATATTTCCAAATACATCAACTATAAACCAAATACCACATTTGGTTGCCTTAGCTCGTTCTTTCAGTATGAGTTTTTTAAGTTTAACTACCCATAACTGTCTACAGGGAACCGTTTTCCACAATATGCAACTTTTTTGGTTTTTCAATCACTACAGATTTTAGGATTACGAGAACCATAAATCTTTCGAAGGTATCTGCCGCATTAGCCTAGTTATTGAAGATTTGTTCGACATGTAGTCAAGATAGTCGGTAAAAATGACTGTCGATTGGTGTGAGGTCCGATAAGTGTACTCTATAAGTCGCAATTTTGTGTCCAATTTCTTTAAACTTTTAACAGTTATATGGCACAGTTGGTCATCGCAAGGGTTTGCAAGAGGACGTCTCAATTCTTTAAACTGTCGTGCAGGAAGGTTACCTTACAATCAATTAAATCTTTGCTGGAGACGTTATCAATCTTGGAGCATTTTGTATGAGGGTTCAATGAGCCAAAGTGTTTGTTCCATTTATTCTACCTGGTCACCAGAAGCGTCGCTGTAACCCTTACTTTAATGCAACGATAGCTTCGGAAAGTGTTTCATTCTGTAAGGCTAGAAACAGGTATGTTTCATTCTTTTTTTTAGTCTAAAACGTAACACTATCGGTTTTTGTACGTTTTCGTACTGTTGTTTTGCATACAACTATGCAATCAAGAAAAGATTAACCTTTACTGCTCAGAGGAATCGGAGGTCTCATTTAAAATACCAATGTTTTTCACGCAGTGCTTCAGTTTTTTATTGAGTTTGTTGAACCCTCTAGATCGGTTTAGGTGTTCTGATGTTGTTGTTTTACTTGTGCATAGTTATTTCGAAAGTTTCTAACCGTTTCTTAGAGATCTGTTATATCTAACGTCTTCAGATGGTCATCACCAATGATTAAGCTATTATAATATTATATTAGATGATTATTAGAGGTTTTTTGCCATTCTGTTGTTGTACATTCTTTTCTTCTGCTGAATCCCAGGAAATTTGTAAACCAAAGAGAAAAAGAGAGGAAATTTGGAAAACTGTAGTAGAATGTTACTTACAAAATTGAGCAGGTGGCAAGTCGTTACTGTTGTCAATTATCTAATCAGTTGGAATAATCATTAACAACAAATAAAATAATGCGAATCGAGCTGGTGAAGGAAAGTATACCATTGCATATTAGGAATACAAAAATAAGAAGAAGATGTAGTCCACGGAACGTTTCTAATTAAGTCAAAATCTACTGTTTCTGCAGTTGCATATTATATCTATGTAGGACATTCAGTAAGCATGATATTGTTCAAAAGAACGAGCTTTAAGAAAATGCGGAGCGCATCAGAGGCGTATCTCTCAGAAAAACCACGAACTCCGCGTTTTGTCAAAACTACGACAAATATTACTTCTCTGTGATTACACCTTTAACACCTGCCGTATATAGGACTGTTAAATAGTGGAAACAGTCTACAGATAGATGAGAATAACAGTAGAGTGGATCGGAAAAAGAGTGCAACTATTTCTAACTGGCACACTTATTTATCAAGAAATAAGAGTCTAGGACGTTTAAATTTGCGAATGGACCACTTCCATCAGCGACGGTCACCAAAGAACGAAATCAAAAAACAACGTTTTTGGGAGCGTTTCGCGAAGGCTGGTAATTTGGCGTCGTAGCACTTAAGTCTTAATGTGGTGCTGCGTGGACGTGCAAAGGATATGCCGGTGGACGATACCTCAGTGAATTCATTACTGAAACACGGTTTTCCCTTGGTGAGACGGACTAACTCTGCGTATTTTATTATTGTTTCTTCAGATTTGGCAAAATATTGTATTTCAACTGTTGTTTTTATTTACGATCCAAATTCATGTTATTATCTCTTTGTTGATAACCTTCCCAGGTTTTCTGGTTTATTTTATGGATCAGTGAGTTGTACTCTGTTTTCATTTATATTGCACTTTCAGGAATTTTCGGAGGAGCAGTCTTCTCTTTCAGGATTCCTGCACATTCTCGGACGCAGGAAGGATCTTGTTATTTCGGGTGGATTCAATGTGTACCCTAAAGAAGTCGAAGATTGTATGAATCGCCTTCCTGATGTCGAAGAATCGGCTGTCATCGGGATGTCTAGTGTTTCTTAAGTTACAGAAAAGGAGAGATTTTTCTTACTGTTCTAGGTGTGCCTCATAAAGATCTCGGTGAAGTGGTTGTTGCTGTTGTGCATAGTAAAAGCTCAGCGAGTCAAGAAGAAAATGAACAGGCAATCATTTCGGCACTTAGGAAAGTCCTCGTTGAATATAAGGTTGGAGGGATTCTCCTTTTCATTTCTTTGATTTGTGATCTAATGTAGCGTAATGATGGTCTAATGAAGTAGTAATGACAATTTAATAATAATAATAAAGTGCAATAATCTATAACCTTTTGTAGTACAGTCTTCATGACGTAATATTTACAGTCTTCTTTGTAGTGCATTTATCCTTGTTTATTATTCTATTTTTCTGCAAGAACCTTGTTCGAAGCCGCCCCGGACCAACTAAGCCCCATGCCTCTAGGGTCGGCGAATTGGTACCATATTTTACTGGTGTCAGTTTGCTCTCTCCAACTACCTAAAGTTGGTGACTGTCTGTGATGAAGGTCTGAGAGCACCTTAGCACGGTTATTCCGGGATTCCACTGAGAATCGACTCAACTAGTATTCATGGGAATTCATGATGAAGGCCAAAAATCTTAATGGATCAGTCAAACCCACATGCTAATTCGGGGACCTTCATAGACGTTTGCTAGGAGGTAGATAGAATTCAAGAATTGCTTGGATCCACACAACATGTGATGTCGGGTCGTATGAACTAAAATGAATAGAGTTATTTCATTTTTCTGTGTACATCAAATTATTCCTCTCTGCGAACATTTAGTTTCTAGTGAAAACATCACTTGAGAGGAAATTTCCATGATGTTGTCAAAAATGAAAAATGTTTATGATTGCATGCCCGAAAGTGATGAAGTTATGTATTAGAACAGTGTTTTATTTTTATAAGGAGAATAAAAGCGTATTGTATGTTCATCCTTTTGATCGCAGCCTTCCAAGTCAACCGTCTTTGTTTCTAAGAATCTTCCTAGAACACTGAGAAAAATAGTCGATTCTATGCTTTTTTCTTTAAAGCTCTTTCGTTAGACCATGACCTTTAATCCGTACTTGGACGACCCATCTTTACGAGTTGTGCGAACCCCAGAACATTTTCTTTTCGTTTCTTTGCTTTGTAATCTTCGTCTGACATGGTGGTTTGATTTGAACGTGGTGGCGGGTTGGATTCTAATACCGTGATCTGTAAAACAACTACAGCTGCTGTTTGACTTTAGTAACGAACTCGTCCTCCCAGCGTTGAAGTAGTCATCATAGAGGACGCCTGCATTCTTGCGCAGTCCACTATACAGTCCTTTTATCCACTAGCCGTCTGCTGTTCTCATTATATGAACAGCCCATCTATGTTCGTATCAATATCTGGGTGCCGAAGATGTGATTGACTTCGAAGATCGAAGCTTCTCATTCCGTCTACATGTTTTACATGCCGGTTATGTTTCAGAAGATATCCTTCAAACGCGCTATAGCTAGTGGGCAGTATTACTGACGTGGATGAAATGTCAATTTCTGGTGCGTAATAGAGTGCTGGGAAGACTGCTGGATCAAAAAGCTGTGCGCGGTGTTTTGGGTCTGTTATGTTGGTCGGTGACTTCTTTGAGAGTTCGGATTGAGGCTCATGCTGCTGTCCTTCTTTGGACTAATACCTCCTTCACGTTGTTTTCCTTAATCATATAACACCCAGGGTATACGTAAGAGGTGGTCTACATAACCAGGGAATTATCCAATCTGTTCTGTTCGCCATCGCACCATGAGTTGTTCATGAACTGGGTCTTCGTCCTATTTATTCGCACTACGATCTTTTTCTTACCTTCTTAAGCTTTTTTTTCTTTTCTTAAGCTTAAGGTCATCATCTTCGCATCGTAGGTACTTCTTGAAAAGGTCACGATTTCGTCGGCCAAACGAGGATTTTGTAGCAATTTTCAATCAGTTCGGACGCCGTTCTCATCCAGATCGAGCCACTTCATTATCCATTGTAATGCGGCAGCAAACAACCTTGGCGATATTTTGGCGGCTGCTCATCGAACCTGTCTTCAGGTGGGTATGGTAAGAAGTCGATGGAAAATACGCATTTTCGTAGTGCAGTTCTAATAACAGTTGCAGAGGGTTTTTATATAGGACTAATCCACTCTTTGATCGACAAGCGGTGATAGGATTGCATTCGTTTCGACTATGCCTAACGCCCTTTCACAGTCGACAATATTCCAGTGCAGAATGATGGGACCACTGATATGTTAAGTAGGCACCATCTTCGGCTTGTCAGAATATAGTCGATCTCCGCATAAGCCGTGCTGTTAGGAGACTGCCGTGTCCAGCGGCGGCTTTCTTCTGGAAAACTGAGTTTCCATGGAAGAGGCGTATTGCAAACAGTAATCCTACAAGACGGTTCTCAGTTTTATTTCTTTCTTCCAATCCAAATTTTACGATACTGGATTCGCTTGCTTCGACCTTTCCTATTTTGTCGTTGGAGTTTGCGACAACAAGTTCCCAATACACTTCATCATTGTGGATAACTTCCTCCAATTGGTACTAGAGCACATCTAATTCGTACTCATCAGCGCCTTCGGTCATTTATTAGCAATTGACGATAGTGGTATTCTTATGACGCATTGGTAGAAGATGAAGGACGGCCATGGGAGGGCAAAGGATCTCGTGCGAGTCGACATGTGTCTGCCTTCGTGTTTTTGTTCCTTGCGGGGCGATCCATGGAATTTAATGCGATCTGCGGCTTCAAGAGGAGAGTAAAGGTTGGCGTCCGAGAAGAGTTTTTTTAGCATTGTACACGAGAGTAAAAAACAATCTCGTTACCATGGTCGTATATATATATATATATATATATATATATACATGTATATATATACATATATATACACGTATATATACACATACATATATATACATTTTGTAAGTGTGTGTGTGTGTGGGTGTGTGTTCGTGTATGTATGTGTGTATGTATGTATGTTTACGTATGTGCGTATGTGTATGTGTATGTCTGACCTCTTGCTTTGTAGTCAATTTAATCTGCAGTCCTGGTTTAAACTTGCAAAGGCGTTTCCAGGTCTTCATCACGATTTGGATCTGAGGCTAGTATCTTTTCTGCAACGATTCCTCTACACTAGTCTTTCTAGGGATTTCTAGGAACTAGAAGGACTACAGTATTGTTTCTCTGCTGTCGCTCCGTCGTGTGTTTGCTTCTGCCCTTTATGGGATGTGATTTTTTTTGGTTGGAGTTTTTAAAAACGAAAAAAATGCAATATTTATGAATAAGTTAGAAAGTAAATGAAACGAGGGGCGGATAGCACAGTGGTATTGATGTGCATCATCACGAGCATGGTGCTAATTCGATTCCGCTCCGGGCCAACCAAGCCTGTCATCCCTACTGGGTCGGGAAATTGGTACCGCGGTTGTTTGTGGAAAACCACTCTTTGCAATCCATTTGGGAACTCTCCGGCTCAGCTATCTCAGGACTCCAGGGAGAATTGCTCGACCAGCATTCTACGACATTCGAGATGAAATGAAAATCCTCAAGCAGCAACCGAAGCCACACGTAAAACTTGGAAGACCTTCGTGGACGATGGACACGAGGAAACGAAGTGGATGTGGGAAGTGCTGTGGATCTGCACAGAACACATGAAGATGGATCAAATTTAAAAAATATTTGCGAATAACCGCATGCATACTCTACTGTGACTTAACCTGATTGTTTAGAGTGCATATGTCCTTCTGAAACAGTGTCTATAGAACAAAGCAGTGAATCACCATCCATAACCAAACCGCTTGCGGTTTGACTATCACAGCAAGTCATGAATTCTATCCATCCTTTCGGGTTCGTGAGTGCTTAGTGTTTCTGTAATTTACGAAATACTAATTCCTTTTATTTGGTTAGTTCATAATATCTGCACAAGGCTAATATTCCTTCGCGACTTAAGCAATTTTGTGAGTGGTAAATTAGATTTGAAGCATTTTAATGACATTAACTGCTAGCGTGGATTCCAATTCAGCCTTTTGTAAGTGTTCGTTGTAAACAAATAGGTATGTTTGTTTGTGGGCAAACTCACATACAACTTTGTTTACCTCTTATTTCACCTGTGATAATCATCAAATAACTACTATTTTTGGTGAGGAGATAACAATGAGTGGGACACTGAGCTCTGCCGTAGCATAGATTTACTCATTTTTGTGCTCCCGAATGGAAATGTCCAACCCATCCTCCTTTTGAGGAAGAGGTAAAATACCATCTTTTGTTTCGGCTATAGAACTGATTTCAAACACGTTACCTTGGTGCGTATTTCGTACTAAATAATGTTAGTGGCCATTCGTGAGAAAAGTCTTCGAAAAATTCGTGAAGCATTTGTTTTCTGCATGGACTTCTGTAGTCATTTAGTGACACAATGTATCATTCGCTAGTTTCTTCTTTTATGTTCAGAAACAGCGCTTGTGAATTGATAATATTTAGATTCCAAAACGTGTCGTTTTCGTTCCCGGCCTCCCAAGGAACTCGATGGCGAAGGTTCAGAAAAGTATACTTCGCGAACAATTTAAGGATATCTTCGACGTAAAGTGATGTTTCGCTTTGTTTTCGTTTCCTTCCAGTAGTAAAGTTTAACTATGTTACCTTAACACTTAGAGTCAGGTCGGAGTAGATTCTCACTGGTACGTGGGAGACAAACTGGTCGACATGAATTGATATCATGTCGTGTTCTTTCAGGTTACTCATTTTGTTGCAGTTGTTTTCCGCTCTAAAAGAAGAGATAGTAGTATCTCATGTTTGATATGCCACGCGTATTTGTATAAGTAGATTGGACCTATGCCAGGGGTTAACTTTACCTAATTATACCTTCTAACATATACACACATGTAGAAAACAATACAATAAGGGAATCATACGAGGACACAGCTTAAATGTTAATGATTTTTTTTTCATTTATTTTACACGATCAGTCTTTCATATCTACTATGCGGAACGCAACACTTTATACATCCATTCATTTCCTCGCATCCAGTATCCACGAAGGTCTTATGACATTTCACGTATGGGTTCGGTTGATAGATGAGGATTGTGGTCTTCTTCATGAATTTCGTTGAATGCTGGTCTTGTCGTTTCTTCTTCGAGTACTGGAATATGTGCGTGAATTTCAGTAAACGACCTGGGCTCAGACTGGTCTGATACTAATCTCGCGATCCCGCAGGTATAAGCGGATTGGCAAGCTCGGC